GACTCATGTGGACATGACAAAAGCGGGAAGATCGCGAGAATGTCTCTTGCACGGCACTGAGGCCTACAAAAGTCTCGCGCTCAGCAATCGCTGTGTCTTCTTACTGTAAGGAGTTCGGTACCTCACATCCCCGGCCCTATGTGCAGAGAGCAAACGCGTGTGTATACCATGGAAAGATAGGGTTCCAAATTCTCGAAGAACAGCCAGTTCCAGGGCAACACTCTCCTCGGTCCATTCAGGCGCCCGACAGCAACAGGTGGCATGCTGACGTGGCGGAGTGGGATCAGTCCGACTGATCTTGAAAGGGCGCCCAACGCTTCGGATGTGGGGTTTAGGGCGTTTTAGGGTTTAGGGCTTAGGGTGGGGGTGGGACCTACATGTCGATGGACGGAATCGCGACAAGCCGCGTGCACGACAGGAAACTGGCGTTGCCAGCCGCTCGCTGCCACGTGGCTCGCAGCTCCAACATGTGAGTCAGACTGGCGAGGCAACCCCAAAAAAAGGCCCCGCTTCTTCATCTTCTTGACCCCAAAAACCCAAGCAGACCCAGATCTTCAACAAGCACTCCTTGGGACCCCATACAACGAACCCCTATTATCATCCCTACTAAGCACTGTTAGTATAGGGGGGGGGACATCCCAAAGTACAGGCACCCATTTTCGCCCCTTTAGGGCCATGACGGAGCTCTCCCTGTGGGCCGAGGTGCTTCTTTTCATGTCCATCTCTGGCTATATGGGGGGGGATTCCGAAAAGAGGGACCCCTAAATGGCCCTAAGGTACCCGGCATATAGACCCCTAATATAAGGCCTCGGGGTAGTAGGATCCCCTTGTGATGAGGACCCCAAGAAGGTACCCCTAATATCGTTAACCCTCATATCGGGGAGCCACTCTGCCCTGTGAGGAGAATGGCAAGGTGTTGAAGCCTGGGGAGGAGGGGGTCCTTCTCAAGGCCTGGACCAAAGCCTTGGGAACCATCCACAAATCTCACGAAGAATCATCGCTAAATGGTTGTATACTCTTTCTCTTTTTTTTGGAGGGGTTCTTAAGCAAATAGTGGAAACCTGAGTTCTGGAAGAAACCTCTCTTTTGCTGCTGGGGCCGATGACATGGCGGGTTGTTCCAAATCGGGGTCCCCTGTGGGTTCCTTGCCCCTACATTGGAATCCTAGTATGACATGATGCAGTTATGGTCGATTTACTCCCGGTACCCCTACGGTGAACCCCCAAACTTCTGAAACCCGAAGCCCGAAACCCTAGCCCCCTGAACCCTAAAAAGCAGACTTTCGGCTCAAAACAATGTGGCCAGGTGGTCAGCTTGCAGCCACTGATGTACCTGTAACGGCAAGCTCATACTCGGAGGCTGCGAAAGCCCCGCTGGACCCCAGATAGAGTAGGTAGGTACTTGAGCGCGGTCCAGGGTAGAATTCAGGCAGTGTTTGAGGGCTTTGAGGGGTTTTTGAGTTTAGGACGTTAGAAGCCCGAAACCCTAAACCCTAAACCCAAGACCCTAAACCCTAAACCCTTAACCGCCCCCCTCCCCTTCCTCCGCTCACCTGGAGCATGCGGATGGTCAAGATGCCGCACCCATGGTTGCTGAGCCCCGGGCGCTCCAGAACCTGTCGACAGTCGTCGCGGCTGCCTCAGCACGGAAGATTATAGGGCCAGGGTTTAAGAGTTCAAGGCAGCCACCACTGCTGATGGTCTAGCAAGGCTATATGGTGAGTTTTCGAAATTCTGGTCCCATTATGGGTATCCTAGATACAATATGCAGGATACCATTCTGCCCCCCCCCCCCCCCCCCCTCCCGCCCCCTTCTCCTCCAGTGAAAGTCTGAAAGCTACCTTGGGAACTGAGGTGGGTTTGGTGGCCACTTCGATTCCAGCCGGGCTTTCGCTAGCCGCTGGCTTTCTGTGGACAGCTCGGGTGGAGTGGGCCGCGATCTCAGAACATCCCCAAGCTCGGACCCGGAAGACAGAAACCCGAAGCCCCCCAACCTTTAAAGCCTAAACCACCCTAAGCCCCAAATCCTCCTAAACCCTAAACCCTAAACCGCCCTAGGCCCTAAACCCTAAATCCCCACAACAGTCATCAGGCCTGGACAATTCTCGGAGCTGTCCTCTTGGACCTCGGCGTGTTGCACCTCAAGGCTGGTAATCGGGCTGAAGGTGGGTTTGGGTTTGGGGTTTAGGGTTTGGGGTTTAGGGTTTAGGGTTTTGGGGTTTAGCGTTTAGGGTTAGGGTTTAGGGTTTGGGGTTTAGGGTTTAGGGTTTAGGGTTTAGGGTTTGGGGTTTAGGGTTTAGGGTTTTGGGGTTTAGGGTTGTTGTGCAGAAACCAACATCTAAACTCCCAAATAGCCGTCAGTACGTCATAAGTGGACCCATAAAATTTTATGGGCTGGAGCCCCCAAATCCTTAGACCATGAGTCCTAAACTGTGCAGAATGGATCGCAAATCCTGAATCCCTCATCCCTACACCCCTAGCACCCTAAGTCCTAGACCCTACTTGAACCAGCAAGCCCAAAGCCCAAACCCTTGACCCTTCAACTGAACACCATGCAGGCGCTCCTCCAGCACCCACGGCCGGCGTCTCAAGAAGGAACGGAAATGGGCGCTTGAACCAGATGATTGGGGGTCGTGTTCGGGGCCCCAAGCCCTGCAACCCCTGTAAAGAGTTTAGAGTTTAGGGTTTCCAGTTAGGGCCTTACAGCCCGAGAAGCCCAATTCGAGCAAGTTCCTTCTTCCATGGTTTACCCTCAATTGCACTGGTTTCTAAACCCTAAACCCTAAACCCTAAACCCTAAACCCTAAACCCTAAACCCTAAACCCTAAACCCTAAACCCTAAACCCTAAACCCTAAACCCTAAACCCATAAGAACCGGGGGCTGCCCCAGGCCGGTCTCCCATCCTGCATATGTTCTTCCCTCCGAGGGGCCCTTCGGCATGCCCGGGCCCCCGGGAAGCTGAGCGGTCTAGAGGGTTTAGGGTTTAGGGTTTAGGGTTAGGGTTTAGGGTTTATGGTTTAGGGTTTAGGGTTTAGGGTTTAGGGTTTAGGGTTTAGGGTTTAGGGTTTAGGGTTTAGGGTTTAGGGTTTAGGGGGGGCTTAAAGGCTTCCAGGGTTTCGGGTTTGGGCTTTGGGCTTTGGGGGTTGGGGTTTAGGGTTTAGGGTTTGCGGTTTAGGGTTTAGGGTTTGGGGCTTGTGGTTTAGGCGGGGGTTCTTGAGGGGCTTAGAGGCTTATCAGGGTTTTTTCGGGCGGGCTGCTTATGGGGTTTCTAGGGTTTTGGTTTGAGGGGCTTAAAGGCTTACAGGGTTTAGGGTTTAGGGTTTCGGCATAGGGTTTAGGGTTTAAGGTTTAGGGCTGTGCTGGGGGCGTGTAGGGCTTTCTGTTGTGGGCTTGCTTATAGGGCTTGCGGTGGTTTCTGGGAGGTTTATGTTCAACTTTTGGGTTGGATGTCTTTGGTGACCCCAAATCCCCAAACAGTCCCAATCGTTAAACCTTGGGGGGATCTTTTGGGCTCAGGGCTTAAAGCTTAGAGGGTATCTTTGAACGTTCGGGTAGAGCTTGTAGGGTTTGGCTTTTTAGGGTTTGGGGTTTAGGGGTTTAGGCCTCAGAGTTCAGGGAACCCTAAACCCTAAACCGTAAACCCTTGAATTGTTGTGAGCTTGCTCGCCCCTATTCTGGCATCAGTCGAAGGTACCAGCAAGTGCGGTCATTTGGATGCGCCCCCCACTGGATCCTCGCCCCCGAGGTTCTCCCCTAGTGAAGGGCTCGATTCAAAGGTAAGTGGAGCTTTTTGCTTTAGTGAGGGGAGGGGCAGGGGGAGCCCTCTGAGTCATGTGCCAAATAGGATGCTGCACAGGCCCTCAGAGCATGCGGCCTTCGCGGCGTTTCTTGTTGGGCAGCTTCACGCCAGGCCGGAACTTCTGTCTGCTGCGGTTCTGTGAGCATGTTGAGGGTTGATACCAGGGCTGATTCTGTGCGCAGCTTTTGGCTACATCTCCCCACCTGCCATGCTTGTGCAATTCTTTTCGAGGTTGGTCTAGGTAGCTTGCGTTCCCCTCCTAGGAATGACCCCAAGAGGGAGGACCCTAATTTGAACCAACAGCCGGGCTACCACTCAAACGATTCATGGCACCCTATGAGGGTTTATATTCGGGGACCTTATTGGGGTCCTTATTATGTGGGGATCCTACTATTTGGGGTCTATTTTAGGGCCCCATGTTTTCGTAAAGCCCCCAGAAACGAGCCTACAAGAGCACGCCGGGCGGCTGCTTGGCATGGCGCCGCAGACGCCAACCAAGCCACCCACCAGCGCGTGCCCCAGCTGCTGCTCACTGTTGGTTAGCAGGGAATGAGGGAATTACGGCCCTGCATATTCTATATACCCTTTAATATATAGGGTACCTCATTCCCTCATTCCCGGCTAACCAACAGTAAGAGGAAGCACAGCCAGAGGTCGCCCAGGAAAGCCCAGGCAAGGTCAGGCCCTAATCAAAGCCTACTTGGAGGTTCATGGTACTTATGAACCAAGTTATAACATGTTATATCCTTACTCATAACCCACTTTAAGCCCCTGAAGTGCCCACATATGGTTATCATTGGGTTCTAGGTACAGTTATTATTGGGTTAGTAAGTAAACCCTAAACCCTAAACCCTAAACCCTGAACCTCCAAGTAAGGCGACTATCGATGGTGGGGCAGCGCTTGCCCCACCGAGCAGCCGGGCATCGCAACCTGTGCCGGGGGCCTGTTTTTTTGTTCAGGGAAGGCGGGGAAAAGCAAGCTTGTTTAGGGTTTAGGGTTTCGGGTTTAGGGGTTTTGCTCCTCTTCCCTTCCCAAGGTCAGCGTGACTTCAGAGCACAGCTGCGGGAAAGTGGTCGGAGGCTTCTGACACTGAACTCTGGAACTGGAACCAACCAGTTTGTTGTTTACCCCTGCAGGAAAGAATGCGCACCTCTCAGCAGCTCATGAGAGACGTGTCTATACAAGGCCGCATTTGGACCTGCCATACCTGTGGCACCGCTTTACAATGCTCTACACGTGGCGCTATTTAAGATGCCTGGCAACCTGGCCCCGCCCCAATTGGGGTGTTTTTGCCAGGCTCATCAGCAACCTCGGGAAGCGCGGGCAGTGTGCGCAGGCAGGATTTGCATGCAATGGGCACCCGCGGCTCATGACAGTTACCCCGCTACTTGGAAGTTCATGATACTTATTGACCCAATAAGAACTGTACTTGCAGGTATAACCATATTAGGGCACTCAAGGGGCTTATAAGTGGGTTATAAGATGTTTTAAGTACTGTTGGTTTTTTATTAATAAGTACCATGAACCTCCAAGTACCCCCTAGATCCTCTTGCGCAGCTCGCAGCTTGAAGCTGCAGTGCTGCAGGCCCTGCAAGCGTCGGCAGAAATGCAGCAGAACGGCATAAAGCCGGACAACGCCGTGTACACCGCGCTGGTCGAAGCATGCATCAACTGCCAAAGTCCGATTCTGAGTGCCACCTTCGGCAAGGAAACTTCTAATTTCTAATGATGGAAAGCTAAGTTGCAGCACCTCAGGTCACGATGCTGCCTTGGCCGTTTTGAAAGAGATGCGTGCGGCAGGAGACGGAAGGGTTCAGAACCCCTGTCTGTTTGTTTGTTCGTCTTCGCCATAGTGAGCATGTAGTTGCCCTTGCGTCTCGAGAGCACACCCGTGCCATGCCCGTAAAAGCTGCCAGCCCCAACACAGGCTTCGAGCTTGATGAGCATGTCTACTACGATCTCATAAGTCCCAGCCCAAGCTTTGCTGCTGTCGGTGGGATGTCAGCGGCTCCAGCAGCCTGATTGCTGTCATAGCTGCTCCGAGTAGACGCCAAGACTGTACTGGTCCTTCCAGCTCCGAGTGTTAGGGCTTAGGGCTTATAGGGCTTATAGGGCTTATAGGACTTGCTCCAATGTGGCTGTTCTCCGGATGATCCCGATTATAGTGAGGATCAACTTGGCTATTGCGACGCCGGCCGCATCATGATATGGGGATTTACGATATATATGTATATATCATTTGCAGCTTTAGCTGCGGTTAGCTGCTGTTGCGCTGATGATTCGTCTGCGGATGATTCTGCACCTTTTGCCATTCTTCTGGTTGACGTGGGACCAGGTCTCGGAGACCTGGTAAACCCTAAACCCTAAACCCTAAACCCTATATAAACTCAACAAGAATACTTCTTTGTCCTCTGGGGGTGCAATGGGGTTCTCACGCGTGCTCTTTGCGCAGCTTCGAGGCCTGTGTGGCTTTGCGCAGCACTGGCAGCGAGCTCTCGCCGGGGCCCTTCATGCTGTTTACACCTTAAACCCTAAACCTTAAACCCTACACCTTAAACCCTAGACCCTAAACCCTAGACCCTTAACCCTAATCCCTAAACCCTTAACCCTTAACCCTACTACTGGAGAGCACCTTCGGGAAGGAAGAGAAAGGCTGAGGTGAGTGCGCGCGCAGGGATGAGCGTGTGCGCGTTCAGTGGGTCTGCACTGCATGCCGCCGTTTCGTTGTGGATTGGGGGACGGGGTGGGTGGGGGGGGCTGGGCGGACTCTAAACTCTAAACGCTCAAAACCTTCACTAGCCCTAAACCCTAAACCCTAAACCCTAAACCCTAAACCTAGATACAAGCAGATGCAACGTGGGTTCCGAGTCACACGAGGAACTGCTGCACCAGCTCCGAGATCGGGGCATTGTGCCAGAGGCCCTTTTCGGGTGTTCTTTCGGGTAGTACAAAAGAGAGGATTGATTCTAGGGTTTTAGGGCTTGGATGTTTAGGGTTTAGAGTTAGTTTAAAACAGCCATGTCTGGAAGAACCTCATCATGCGCCATGGCGCCAATGCTTGCAGGCGAACTCCTACTGCAGCGTCGTGAGAGTGTGCTGCCGATGTAAGCAGTACCCCACAGCCCGGGTCTCAGAGACCTGGCTTCCTCTCTCCCTCCCCGCAATGCACACAGTATTATAGGGGTCGGAATAATTACGAATAGCATTCCCTCATGGTCCCTTTGTAATTGTACTAAAATGACCCCCCAAAACCCTGTTCCAATTATTTAGGCCCCGATATCACATGCCAGAGGTATTGAAGCTCCTGCTCGAGATGGAGTCACATGGCCTAGGCCACGTGCTTCGGACCAGTGAACCTGGTTGTAGCGCGTTGCGCAAGCCGCTGCTTGTCAGACCACTACCGAGTTGCGCAGAAGTTGAGACTGGACGAGCCCTCAGCCCTCTGGGGGGGCCATCTCGAGTGCGAGCTTGCCCGGCAGCTTTGTCACTTCCCCAATGAGCAGATGCCACCAAACTTTCAAGGAATTCGCGCAGTGCTTGCCGACACAGCTCGGGCCTTACATGGAGGTTCAGGGTACTTATTAACCTAACAACAGCTGTACTTATAGCCAACTCATAAGCCCCTTAAGTGCCCTAATATGGTTATAAATGGGTCATAAGCGCAGTTCTTCTTGGGTTAGTAAGTACCCTGGACCTCCAAGTGGATGCGCGAATCTCTTGCGTCTTCCCCTGGCTGCCCAGAAGCCAAGGCCATGGCAGCAGTGGGAAACATGCCGCGCCAGTGACCGACCACTCCAGACGTGGGCAGATGACAAAGCTTCATAATTTCGGCACCCTCCGATAGGGGTTTAGGAAAAATTACTAATGGTATTCCCTTAGGGTTCCTATAGAACTATGCTATAAGAACCCCCAAAAGCCTATTCTAATTATTAAGACCCCTACATTACATTTTCAGACTGAGCTTGACTCAGTCGGGCTAGGAACATTGCGGTACCCCTGGAGAAAGCCAGCCGGGGACCTGCTTTGGCCCGTTAGTGGACGGCTCCATCCCGAAGGGATGGGCGGCTCAGGGAGTCCAAAGAGAGTGGCTCCTTCACCAACAAAATCAGAGAAGCGCACGTTTGTTTATTTTTGGGGTTTCGGGCATGCAAGTGGGGGAAAGGTCATGGTGGAGGAGTTTTTTGGGCATTGGTTTGTATTGATACAGGTTTAACGGCTTCGCATTCACCAGTGGAGGGTTTCAGGCTCTTCGCGCAACTGCCATGTGGTTTCCGTGTTGACTGAGTTCCGCTCTCCATACCCTGAACGCTACAAACTTCGTGAACCCTCAGCCGTAAACCCTAAACGGCCCTAAACCTAACCACCTTTCCGTAGAGCAAGGGCTCATTGCACTAACAAAACCTAAACCCTACATCCTAAACCGTAAAACCACCGCACAAGCGCAGGCAGACACGGCTGGCAGCAGCGGGCTTCAGGCGCAGTGTCCGCGCTGCCTGTTTGGGCCTCCTTGTCCTCTGGGTGGGGCACCCGGTAACTTCGCTTTGGGGTTTAGGGTGTAGGGTTTAAGGTTTAGGGTTGATGATCAGCCCGGGGCACAGCAGAGAGGGTGGGGAGAGGTGGCGAGTGCGGCAGGAGGATGATGGGGGCGGGCTGGGGTTGGGGGGGGGGGAGGGGCATCCACCCAGTATGCCTGGCCCAAGTTCTTCCTGGTCCCGGCATGTCGTCGGGCTGAACACTGGGGTCAGCTACGGGGGGTACCTCATTCAGAACAAACCTCAAGACCTAAACCCCAAACCCTAAACCCGAATAAAGCCTTAAACCCGAAACCCTAAACCCTATAGACCCTAACCAAACCCTAAACCCTAAACTCAAGTTTCCGGGCTCCTTGCGCTGCAAGCGCGAAGACGAGGCTCTTGGCGTGATCCTCATGCGCTACATCACCGGCGCCCACTCCATCGTCGGCGGCCCCGGGGACCCCCTAAACACACCCTGAGACTCTAAGCCCCGTACCCTAAGCCCTAATCCCCAAACCCTAAACCCAAAACCCCAAGCCCTAAACCCGAAACCCCAGAAGCTTATATCCAGTGTGCCGGTTTCAGGGCTTGTTGGGGTTCAGGATCTAGCCCACAAACTGCCAAAATCCTGAACTCAAAAGATGTGTGGTGATGGGTGTCGGAGTTGTCAATACGGGCCATTGCGTTTACCCAACCACCCCCTCCCAAGCCCCAGAAACATGAACCAACCCCATGACAAGCCCTAAAGCCCAAATCCCCTAAACCGGGTAACAGCACGGTTGAAGTTGATTGAAGAAGAGCCCGAAACAACCCTCAAAACCCACCCTAGACAACCCTCAAATGCCTGAACTATTAACCCACCCCTTCAACCCTGCTATCAGCTGGTTGTTGTTCACCAAGTTAAATTGTAACATATGGGAATGTGGCAATTAATGTAAAGCTTCCTTCCCGCGGCAGTTTAAGTTCCCAACAGCAACCCAGAACCCCTAAACGCGCCCAGCTTGCACTAAACCCTAGACCCCAACCCCTAAACTCAAGCCCTAAACCCCTAACCCTAGCCCCTCAACCTCAACCGTAATCCCCAACCCCTGAAACCCTAAGCTCCCAAAAACCCTGATCCTCGAAGGTGCAGCTGCTCGCAGGAGCAGGCTGTGGTCTTTGCGCCAGCATTGTTTGGTGGAAGCTGGAGGCCACATCAAGCGGTTGAGGGTTTATGGATTTTGGGGGTTTAGGGTTTAGGGGTCAGGGTTTAGGGATTTGGGGGTTTAGGGTTCGGGTTTGTTTCGGGGGTCATTTCCTGTGCCTAACTTAGGTACATAGACAATGGGGAAGGGGGGGGGGGGGTGGAGGGGGGGGGGAGTGGGGTAGGCGGGTGTGAGGTTTTGTTTTTTGAATGAGGGTAGGGTGACCAGGGCTCTGGGGCCATGGCCCCCCATGATTCCCGAGAGGGGCCCTGAAGTTTTGATTATTGAACCCTAAACCCCGAACCCGAAACCATAAACCCCAAACCCTAAACCCTAAGCCCAATCTTGGTGCAAGTCAACCCTGAGAAGCTCCGGCCCCCAAGCTGAGAGAGTCACAATGGGAGCTCTGCTCCAGCTACCCGTGGGCATTTCCTTCTCGCTGAATTGACTTTGGCGGATTCATGTCCCGGCCTGGGTGCCAGTGTGGAATACGAGTTATCTTGCCCTATTGCTTACATAACTACGCAGTGGAACCCCTGGTATACCCTGCTTGTAGATGGTTGTCAGAATGCTTGAAGGGTAGGCCCTTTGGGTTGGAGCATACTCATGCTCCATGCGCGACCCTAAAACTCTCAGCCCTAAAACTTAAACCTTAGACCCTCAACCCCTTCGAGGCGGGTCCACTGGCAGATGCCATGGTGCTCGGCCAGTGCTTCACGGATTCTGCCCGCCGCTGCGCCCGCGCCCCACTTTGCTTCTCGTGCCTGTTCTTATGCGGTACTTCGGGTTCAGCCCGGACTATCAGGATCCTTATACTCCCACGCCACATCCAGTGCACCGCTTTGCCGAGGTGATCGCCCTCTATGGCTGCTGAGTCACTTTGCCGGGCCCTGAGGGCATTGTGAGTCCTTCTCAACCTGGTTGGTCACTTCATCTGGTGATTTCTCTAAATTACGGTCCCTTTTGGGGTCCAAATTACAAGGCGGCCCCTTTTGCTTGGGGTACCCCAAAAGGGACCATAGTTTAGAGAAACCACCATCTATCTATCAAGTCGCACCACCATCTGAGCCAGAACATATGCAGTGTGCTGCCGTGAGCTGCTTTGAACTGCCGTCGACTTGCACGGTCATCCTACGCAGTTGTGCAGTTGCTGCGCAGGCTCTCAGAAGGTGGAGCGCGAGAAGACCCAGGCATCGAACGCAGCAGGATGGCATGAATGGAGCATGATATCAAGATGATGTGAGCCCTAAACCCTAAATCCTAAACCCTAAACCCTAAACCCTAACTCTTGGGTCATGCCAGGGAGCTGAACCTCCTGAGCCTCAGAGACAACCTTGGAGAAGTAGCCGCGCAGCCGGGCCCACCTCAGCAGCTTGTATGTGCTGGCCTTCTGTGCCCCACCTCTGAAGCGAAAAGAAAGGCGAGCTCCAGTGGAGGAGGTGGCGGTAGCACACTGCGGCCTGCTCGCGATACAGAAAACGTGCGCCAACTGCCACTTCAATGCACGTTTTGCTCCAGCTGCACCACGGGTTTCAACAACCCGTCACCCAAAGAGCCCCATACCCCTTAACTAAGGAAAAGACCTTGAGTCAGACTAAGGATAGCTATATAAATTGAGGTATAACCCCCTAATTAAGGGGTATGGGGCTCTCTGGGCAGAGCCTCACGTGGAGGTCCAAGGCCGCGATGACACGGAGGCCAAGCAGGTCCCAGCCAGCAACGCTGGCAAGACAAAGCTGCACAACTCTCAGAGCGGCCGCTGGCAATCGAGATGTCTTCGCAAGAAGAGCCAATGCAAGGGCTCGCCAAGCAACATCGTCTAGGGCGTGAGCAAAAGCACCCGAACATCCATCCCCCCTGTCCGCTGAGTTGGTTCTGTGGCTTCTGCGGCGAGTGCTGTGCCCAGCAACGTCTGCGGTTCTCTATCTCATGGCCCTTTTTCGGGACGCCATCAGTTTCCGAAAATAGATAGACAGATAGATATGAAATAGATAAATAAATAAATATATATATAGTAATTCATTCATTATATGTATGCATATATAGTATATACTCCCCTTTTTGTTGCAGGACCCCAAACAGAGGGTACCCCCCCAGATTTGGGAGACCCCATGGTGTGTTTAGGGTGCCCAAGCTGGCACCACCATCTGGTTGGATGACTTGCGGAGACAGCCGAGGTCCATATCTTTCAATGTCAGGACTGCTCAGGGCTTCCACGATGCTAAGCCCCAGTCGGTTTAGGGTTTAGGGTTTCTAGGGTTTAGGGTGTAGGGTTGCTCTTCCTGCTCTGGTGCTTCCCTAATCCCTAAAAACCTCAAAGCCTGAGTCCTGATTTGCCTCAACCCCGATATATTTAAGAGCCTCCGGCTCAAGCCGCCGACCCCGCTGGAGCATAGTTGAGAGGTTCGAAGATCATCCCAGCCTGCTCGGCAGAGTTCTGTGAAACGTTTGGGGGGGGTAGGGGGTCGCACCAGGACAAGCTCAAGCCAAAAAGACAGGGGTGGGGGTGGGGGGGGGGGGCGGGGGGGGGGGGGGGGTGGGGGGGGGTGGGGGATGGGGGGGTGGGGGGGGGGGGTGGGGAGGGGGTGGGGGGGGGGGTAGGGGGGGGGGTGGGTGGGGCGAAAAACGATTTGCTGAAGGTGCCCCTACCCCCCTGTGCTGAACCGCCTGTTTACGCTGCGGGTCCTCCACGAAAAAATTGTGCACCGACCCCCCTACCCGCCCCCCCCCCCGCGTTTTGGGGGGGTAAGGAGTTTTCACCTCCTCAAACCCATCCAACACGCCACCAAGGTCGGCGGATTCCTGAAGCCTCAATGCCCTAAACCCCACACGGCGCGGTGCTAGTGTCACTACGTGGACTTCGCAAGTCTACTTGGTTCCCCCCCTAGCCACCCTGGAATAATCCCCATCACCCGACTTACTACAGTAAGTCAATCTTCCAAGTGAGCCTTGAAGCCGAAGACACCCCTGGAGGAATATGAAGATACATCTTACCAAGTCGGCTGGCAAGAAGCCGGGTGGCTGTCCCCAGGCGCACCCCTGCGCAATCCTACGTGCCACGTTTTTCCCCCTAAGCCCTTGGGTTTAGGGGTTTAGGGTTTAGGGTTTAGGGTTTAGGGTTTAGGGTTTAGGGTTTAGGGGTTTAGGGGTTCAGGGTTTAAGGTTTAGGGTTTAGGGTTTTTTTGTTTTGGGTTCGGGGTTTAGGGTTTCGGGTTTAGGGTGGAGCCCCTTTGCAAATGCCATGCTTAGCCTGAAGCTGGCTCCAAGCTGCATTGCAGCACTTCTCGGTGTAAGCTAGGTAGGCCTGTTGGAGCCTCCTCATGTTGTGGGTTTAGGGTTTAGGGTTTAGGGTTTAGGGTTTAGGGTTTATCTTATTGTGCAATCGTTGTCGCATGGTTTCAAGGGCTTGCATTGTACATGATAGGGCTGCAAGGCCAGGTCTCCAAGGATTGCCTTGCCCTTCTCCTCCAGAGCTCTCCGACAAGAACGCGCGCAGCAGCCAAGGACAGCAATAAGCACTAGACCGTGATCTAGTCTGATTACATCACTAGCAGTACTAAATGTATATACACATATAGGCTGCATTGAAAAACCCATGGCGGTACATTATAACCAGATCACCTCCTATCCCCTCCGGGTCGGTTTCGGGTTTAAAAGGGTTTAGGGTTTAGGTTTAGGTTTAGGGTTCAGGGTTTAGGGTTTCTGAGCCTCCCTGGGCCTTTGACGCCATGGCTGCAGTCTTGGGCCAGAAGGAGGCAGAACCGCCCAGGGCTGGTGCTTCGGAGGCTTCTTGGTTTTGGGTTTAGGGTTAGGGTTTAGGGTTGGCACTAGCCCGGGTCCGACCTCAAGAATCAGAAGTTCAGGGATGTTTAGGGGCCGAAACGCCACACCCAACACCCCTGCAAACCTCAAGCCCCCAAACCCCCAAACCCCCGAACCCTAAACCCCTAAACCCTAAACCCCTAAACCCCTAAACCCCTAAACCCCTAAACCCCTAAACCCCTAAACCCCTGAACCCCTAAACCCTAAACCCTAAACCCTGAACCCTAAACCCTAAACCCTAAACCTCCCGAACTCTTGCTGGAGCCTGGTCAAGGCAGATGAAGCGCTCATCCCGACGGCTGGCATTGACGTGACCAGGCGCCCCCCCTGTTTTGCCTACTCGGAGGTTCACGGTACTTATTAGCCAGGGTTTAGGGTTTAGGGTTTAGGGTTTGGGGTTTAGGGTTTAGGGTTTAGGGTACATATTAACCAATTATAACTGTACTTATAGCCCACTTATACGCCCCTTAAGTGCCCTAATGTGGTAATAAGTACAGTTACAAGTACAGTTGTAATTGGTTAAAAAGTACCTTGCATCCAAGTAGATGTGACTTTCAATATTTCTCATGCGGTACAAGGGCGTCGTGTTAGATTACTATAGTAACTATGCACCAACGTGAATACTTCTGATTGCTTACATATACATATGATATACGTATATATATATATATAACTAAATAAATAGATAAATAAATAAATAAACATCTATTTATGTATATACATACGTACATATGTATGTGAGGGTTGTTCTTTTTGGTGGGCTCCTGTGACAGGATTATGAGGGCGATGAGCGAGATCTCGGTCGTCAAATAACGTGCACACCCTTCACGCGTGCGCAAGCTCACACAAGGGCGAACGCAAGCTTTGCGCAAGCTTGTGATTCAGGAGGCTTCAACAAACCCAAGTATTGAGAAAACCACACATGCGCAAGCACCCGCAAGGGTCGCGCCAGGGCGAAGCGCAAGGGGTTCCAATAGGCATGCATGGAACAAGGACATAGAACAACACTCAATGTGTAATTTCAGGATGTAATATGGTATGGGTATATACTTTTCCTCAAAAATCATACTTGATAAAGTTTATTCGAGTCCATGTTGATGTATCCTGGTACTGCAAGGATGTCTGTCAGACAGCTGAAAGCCGAATTGGCGGCACCTGCCTTACGTCTTTGTTGGTTGCAGCCAGGACGCCTGCACCATGCATTGAGCCTTAACCGTGAACCCTTATATCTACTACTTGCTTAAGAACCCGGCCCCAAAAGTAGAAACATTCTTCCTTGTAAGGGTAATAGGGGATTATTTTTGGGGTTCTTAAGCAAATGGTAGATATACTCCTCTAAACCCTCAAGCCTAAATCCTAAACACCCTGGACCCTCAACCACCTACCCTAAACCCTAAACCCTGAACCCTGAACCCCTGAACCCTGAACCCTGAACCCTAAACCACCTACCAGCTCACCGAGGCAAGAGATGTCGACATATCGCACTGTCGAGATCGGTCAGAGCTCCTGATCCTTCTTCGCCCAAGCCTTACATGTGGGAATGCTGGTTCTTAGTAGGGTTGAGGGTTTACGTAGAGTTTTAGGCTACCCTATATAAGCCCTTAAAGGGTATATACATATATAGGGTCCTAATTCCCTATATAAGCCCTTAAAGGGTATATACATATATAGGGTCCTAATTCCCTCATTCCCTACTAAGAACCAGGGGGGGACGTGGGTGGCAAGGGGGAGCTTGAAGCAGAATCGGCTGAGCAGTCAAGGCAAAGCGCGAACAGCTGGGCGGGAGCCTGAGAAGCCTCAGGGCTTTGGGGTTTAGGGTTTAGGGTTAGGGTTTAGGGTTTAGGGTTTAGGGTTTAGGGTTTAGGGTTTAGGGTTTAGGGTTTAGGGTTTAGGGTTTAGGGTTTAGGGTTTAGGGTTAGGGTTTAGGGTTTAGGGTTTAGGGTTTCATGTGCCTGAAACCCTCATCCCGACCTTCCCTCGAACTCTGACGCAATCCCCGAAGCCCGAATTTAGAAGCTCTTTTGACTTCGTCTACTTCGTATCCTCTAGAAACCCTGTTACAATTCCGATAGCCCACCCTGCTAACCCTACATACTAGGTCAAAAGGGCTTCCAAGTAAGCCCTAAACCCTAAACCCTAAACCCTAAACCCTAAACCCTAAACCCTAAACCCTAAAACCCGAAACCCTAAACCCGAAACCCTAAACTCCTAACAAGCCAAAGCAAACAACAAAGGGCTTCCAAGCACACCCTGGCAGGCCGTGGGACAGCGGCAGCTTCGCGCGTCGGAAGACTGACAACAGCTACTGCTGGGTTGAGCCGGGAGCCCAGGATCTCCAAACCCTAAACCCTAAACCCTAAACCCTAAACCCTAAACCCTAAACCCTAAACCCTAAACCCTAAACCCTAAACCCTAAACCCCACGAGTGATGTCATCAGCCCCCAATAAACTCCAAGCCCTCAAATGGAAGTTTCCAAAACCCCTCTTTAGGGGGTTTTAGGCTTTTGGGGTCTGGAGTTTGTTTCTTTATGTTACCTTATTTTTGAGTTGTTGGGGGTTTGGGGCTTTAAGGTTTTGGGTTATATGGTTTTTTAGGACATCTATACGCCTAGACGAGTAGAGTCCCTGTGAAGCAACCCTCAAAATACTCACCCCTACTTTTTCTGAAACCAACACATGGACGTTTAGGGGTTTGTAGGGTTTGGGGGTTTGTAGGGTTTTGGGGGTTTGTAGGGTTTTGGGGGTTTGTAGGGTTTTGGGGATTTGTAGGGTTTTGGGGGGTTACAGGGTTTAGGGTTTGGCGAAAGGTTTTGGCTAGGGGTTGACAGGGTTGCTGGAGGGGTTTTGGATTTTAGGTGATTGGGCCTCTAAGTGGGTTTAGCGCATTACCGGTTTTGCCCGGGTTGAGGGGTTTACAAGGCTTCGGAGGTTTGGGGTTTCGGGTACATGGGGTGTAGCATTGCTCATAGAATATTTGGAACGTGAGATGATAGAGTTCGGGGGTTGAGGGGTTTTGAGAGTCCAAAAGGGTTTAGGGGTTTGGGTTGAGGGGCCCCTAAACCCTAAACCCTAAACCCTAAACCCTAAACCCTAAACCTTAAACCCTAAACCCTAAACCCTAAACTCGGGGGATAAGTAGAATTACCAGAAGATGTGGAGCCCCCGGCTGCCAAAGGCTCGTGGATGGCATGACAGCCGTCTGCCACTACGGCGAAGGGACCACCGGAATCGTCAATGTGAACGAGCACGGGCCTGAATAGTTAGAATAGGGGTCTAGGGTTTAGGGCAGTGTAGGGCAGTTTAGGGTTTAGGGTAGTTTAGGGTTTGGGGTTTAGGGTTTAGTGTTTAGGGTTTAGGGTTTAGGGTTTAGGGCAATTAGAATAGTTTTTGGGGGCCTTGCAGAACGGTTGCGGGCTTAAGCTTTCGGGCTTTTGGATTTTCAGAGTTTTCGGGTTTTCCTGCGCTTCTTTTCCCCCCCTCCCACACACAAATCCCTGAAACCCCAACCCTGGAGGCCACGGCACGCCCACAGCGGGGCAGCAATCGAAGACCCCGCAACGTTCAATCAAGGGACTTCAGGAGGGACCCTTCTAAGGGACCTAAAGGGCTACGTTGGGGCTCCTTCGGTCTGCCAATAGTAGACTCTCCATCTCTTGAGCCAGGATCCTTCGTTCCAACCATCAGAGGACCTTTCGGCTTGGAGAAAGGGCCGCCACGATGCCCGAGGTCGGGCACGATTGGCTTTGTAATTGGTAGCGGAGCCGTGGCTCCGACTACCTGGGTTGGTAGTGTTTCGTCCCTAGGCAGGGACCAGTGTTCAATAGTAGACTCCAGCAATGTCGGGCGCAGATGAGCGTTCACTCAAACGCTTCAATGGCGAAGAAGATGACCCGGGACGACAGCTGCGCAGATGGCGTGCATGGGCCGAAGCTAAGATGTACACCATGGACAAATTGACAAACAAGCAGCAAGGCCCCTTCTTGTACACCCTTCTCGACGGAAAAGCGTTAGAGGCCGTGGAGCACCTGGAGCTCAGCTCACTCCAGGTGGAGGATGGGGCCAGCAAGATCCTCGCCGTGCTCAAGGAGAGGTTTCCTGAAAAGGAGGCCCATGACCAGATGGGCGAGGCTCTTGGCGAAGTGTTCGGCTTGGCAGCTCGCGAGAACGAGACAGTTCAGCAGTGGACCGCTCGAGTGGCAGAGGTCTTCACGAAGTGTCATCGGAAAGCCGATGTCAAGTTTCCATCCCCTGCTCAGGGATGGATTGCTTTGAACTGTGCTGGCTTTAGCGAGGAGCAGAAGGCGATCATCAAAGCCAAGGCTCAGGGCAAGTTGGACCTTGAGTCTGTCACCTCGGCGATGAGATCCTGCTTCCCCCTCTACAAGGCCGGTTCCAAGGCCAAGCGGCCTACCACAGCGTTCCTCGCAGAGCCTTCCGAGATCGACGAGACGATTGAGGCGCCTGAAGACTTCGCAGATGTGGAGGCATTCCTTGCAGACCACCAGCTGGGAAGTGACCCAGATGAAAGCATCCCAGAGAACGAGGCTGCAGAAGCCCTTGCAGCCACATGGAAGGAACGTCGTGCTGAAATAGCCCGCTTCAAGAAAGATCGCAAGTTTGACTCTGCCCAGCACAGCAAGAAGTCATTCAGAGTTGAGATCGAAGAACTCAAGCGAAGGACACGCTGTCGGAAGTGTGGTCGAGTGGGCCACTGGGCCAGAGAGTGTCGCTCTGGAGGTGGAAAGGGCGGCTCCTCGTCTTCAGCAGCCAGCAGGCCGACGGCTTCGTCTACGACTGGCGTAGTGGAGGCGCAGCTGGTCGAGCAGGAGGTGTCCCTGGCGCAGTACGAAGTCGACCCCGCTGAGGAACCCTCCGATGTGATGTTCGTTGGAATGGCTCAGGTCGCCGCTCAGGCAGGAGTGCCTGTTCTGGCGGCGGGACTCGTGTCTTCACCGGGTTTCGGGGTTGTAGACTCCGGCTGTGGACGCACGCTCATCGGAAAGGACACGCTCCAGCAGCTCGAGGCAAAGATAGGCAGCATGATCGGCAAGACGCTTGAGACCTACCAGGCCACGAGTTCGTTCAGGTTCGGGAATGGCGCCACGGAGGTTTCAAGCATGGCCGTGAAGATACCTGTGGGCATCGGAGGGGTGCCTGGCATCATCGATGCGGCGGTCATCCAAGGTCGAGCTCCTCTTCTGTTGGGGCGTCCAACCTTAGAGAAGCTACAGGTCTCCTTGAACTTCGGCAACAAGACGATGCGGTTCCTGAACGCTCAGGAGGCCGTGCCCATGAAGGTCAATGATGCTGGCCAGCTTCTCATCGACATCCTCAGCTACCCCAGCCGCATGGTTGCTCATAAGCCTGTTCTTCCCGCTGCGGATTCAGTAGAGGCATCTGGGTGTAAGAATGATGTGGCTCAGGACGTCACGTGTGGCTTGCAGCCTTCACTGGAGGGACATGTACCACCACCGCCATCGCCTGAACCCTTAGGACCCTTAAGCCCTAAGACAAACAAGAACAAGAAACCCATGAAGAACAAACACTGTAAGTGCCTCCTAGCCCAGGTTAAAACCCTAGACGCCAAGCAATCCGCACAGGTTGCAGTGGCGGAGTTGTTCTCGCCCCCTCGCCTGACTGAACAGGCTCGCCAGCATGGAGCAACGGGGCTGGCGTTTGACATTAAGCAGGGGTGTGATTTAGGATGTAGGAGCACGCAGAAGGAGGTAGACCAGTTGCTTGAAGAGGCCAGACCTGCCTTACTCACAGCATCTCCCCCATGCATTCATTGTGGTGACTGGGACAGTCTTCACATGATCCACAGGACGCCTTTGGAAAGAGCCCGCATGCTGATGGTGAGCCGTCAGCAGTTTCGCTTTTGTGCCCAGCAGATACAGCGCCAACTGGCGCGCGGCGGTCATTTTCTCCTTGAACATCCGGTGGGTTCTAGGATCTGGAAAGACCCCCTCATTAGACCCCTAGTTAATAAGTATGGTCTGGTTCGGGTTGATATGTGTGCCTACGGTCTCACCTGCCCTAGGTCCGGTTTGCCCATCAAAAGGGAGACCGCTCTGCTGTGTTCGAATCCGAACCTTGCTCAAGGAGCGAGGACCTGTCCCGGATGCCACAGGCATCAGCACATCCAGGGCCATGCAAGTTCGGGGGTGAGTAGGAGCGAGTTTTCAGGTAGGTATTGTTCAGGTTTCGTCGAAATGCTCTGGAGGCACGTGGGTTTCAATGCGTGTGAAAGCTTGGTTGTGCAGGGTGATCCCCTGGACTGGACTGCCTTGGAATGCGAATGCCTCGCAGGAAGCGCTTTCCAAAGAGCACCTGAGATCCCGAGACAACACGAAGCGCCTGCAGCAAATGAGCAACCTGAAGATCCCCAAGAACAGCAGCGACTCATAAAGATAGACCAAGCCCTCCTTAAGTTGCACAATAACTTAGGACATCCCTCAAATAAGGAGCTTGTTCGGGTTCTCAAGCACAGTGGTGCTTCAGATCGTGCGGTCCAGCGTGCTTCAAGCCTCTCCTGCAGCGTGTGTGCAAACCAGAGTCGGCCAACAGCACCACTCCCCGCTAACACCTCTAGTGCATCCCAGTTCAATGAAAAAGTAGGGCTAGACGTTAAGTACTTGCCAGGGTGGTTGTCAGGTCAAAAAATCCCATGCGTCAACATGGTTGACTTCGCCACCTCCCTTCAGGTTATGGTTCCATTGCATCGCACCGAAACTGGTGAAACCACTCGAGACGCTCTTCGCGATCGGTGGGTGTCGTGGGCCGGCCCTCCTCAGACCCTGTGCTTAGACCCTTCTCAGCCCAACCTTTCACAGGTTTTAGGCGCGTTCTGCAACAACACCGGCATCGACATGCGACATACTGCCGCAGACGCCCACTGGCAACTAGGCAAAGTGGAGCGGCATGGCCAATGGTTGTGTCGGGTTTTCCAGCGCGTTCTGGATGAGATCCGTCCCCAGTCAGAACCAGAGTGGCGTGATTGCCTGTCCCATGCTCAATCCGCTAAAAACACCCTCCTGACTGAAGCGGGCGCCAGTCCGTACCAGCTTGTTTTCGGGCGCAATCCGCGCGTTCCCACGGATCTTATGCAGGAGGCGCCTCACCTGGGTGCCGTCGATGCCGAACAGGCAGAACCAGCGCTAGAGCGCGCAGCTGCAGTCCGCGCCGCGTCGCGCCGTGCCATGCTTGAGTGCCAAAGCGATCGCGCTGTTCGTGCCGCACTTCGTGCACGCCCGCGTGCGCTTCGTCCTTTTCGTTCGGGGGACTGGGTTTACTACTGGCGCACACAGAAGCATGTCGATGGGATAAGAATAGAGGGGGGGAGATGGTACGGGGCAGGGCTAGTGCTGGGATCGGTCGGTCGCAACTTCGTTGTCGCGCACAGGCGTAGTCTCTTGCGCTGCGCGCCTGAACAGCTTCGTTTTGCAACCCCATCTGAGGCCACAGTGGCAGAGTTTCCGGAGAGCGAGCTCCTAGGCGTTAAGACACTGCTTGAAAAGGGTCAATTCCCGAAAAGCCAATTTGTGGATGTCACTCAGGAGAGCCGCCCTCCAGAGGCCTCTGAAGAGGCTCAGGCCACGGTTGATGAGCCGTCACAAGGCCTTGCGGGTCTCAATGCAGCGCAGTGGCTGGAACAGCACAGGCAGACAGCAGCAGGGACCGAGAGCCCGAAAGCTCCAGAAGTGTCTTGCTCGGCCCCTGCCAGGGCCAACGCAGAACCCTACCCTACAACACTTCCTGAAGCCAGCCCAAAGGAAGAATCGTCATACGCCCCTGTCAGACGCATCGTCCGCAAAACTCCTGAGAGCAACCTCCGTCTCCGTAGATTGCCCGACTCTAATCCTGAAGACTTCGCTGAAATGATGTCTGAAATTGTTCCTCGCCTTATAGCCCAACTACCCCAAGAGGTCCCGGGAGCAAGCCCTAGCAGTAGCTCAGACGTACCGCAGACTGTGCAACCAGAGACCCCCAGAGCCAGTAGCCAGAAGCGGGCGGCCAGTAATGAGCCGACAGAGTCTCCTGAAGGTGTGAGGCCTCGAACTGTGTCCACAGAGGCTCTCTTTTGTCAAGAAACTCTGGACATGGAGCACTTGCATAGCAGCCATGTGGAGATTCTGATGGCTGCATTTCTGCAGAAGCGAGCTCAGAAAGAGCTCCCCGCCACCGGAAATACTCCGGACATGCAGCGTCGCATCGACGAGGCAAAACTCGTTGAGCGGGAGACGGTGTCCGGCAAGGCAGCTGTAAGAGTGCACACGGGGGCTAAGGCCAGAGAAATCAAGGAGAAGTTCGGGCATAGGTTCATCGGCAGCCGGTTTGTAGTTACGAACAAGGTTGATGAAGAGGGATCTAGAGTAAAGGCGAGATGGTGCTTGCTTGGACACAACGATCCCGACTTCCATCAGAAGATTGCTTCGGGTGAGTGTCACAGCCCAACGATGCACCAGTTGTCGCGCGCCTGGCTGCTTCAAGTCCTTGTCTCCAAAGGCTGGACCCTAAACCTAGGCGATATAAAAGGCGCTTTCCTCGAAGCAGGTCCAATCCCTGAAAAATATCGTCCTCTATTCGCCGCGCAACCCCCTGGAGGGATTCCGGGCGTAGACCCCTCAGCTGTTATAGAAATAGTGGGGAACCTCTACGGCGCTAACGATGCGCCGGCCCAGTGGTACAAGGAGTTTGATGCTCAGGCGCAGGCCGCAGGGTTCCAGCGTAGCATCTTCGACCCATGTTTGTACTACTACCGAGAGCCTCAAAGAGGGCTAACGGGGATCCTAGGGGCACATGTGGATGATACCATAACGGGGGGCGAAGGGGAAGCGTACAACCGAGCCATTCAGAGGCTAAAGGCGAGGTTTCAATATCGTAAATGGAGACAGGGCAGTGGGGAATTTTGCGGAGTTCAATACTTCCAAGACCCTGAGTCTAAAGAGATCACTTATGATCAAAAAGCATACGCGCAGAACATAAGACCCATCGCCATGACAAAGGATCGACAGAAGCAGCGGAAACAGCTGGCGACTGAACGTGAGATCACGGCTCTCCGAGCAGTGAACGGTGCCCTCAACTGGCTTGCGTCCCAAACCCGTCCTGATATCAGCGTTCAGGCCTCCTTCTCACAGCAGGCGTTCCCCAGTCCTACTGTTGAGCACCTCCTGTCCGCCAATGAGGCGGTGCACCGAGCCCGTCAGTACAGTGACGTGGCGCTCACTGTTCGTCATGTGCCCTGGGAAGATCTCAATATAGTTTTCCATAGTGACGCTGGGTTTGCTAATGCTTCACAGGGTAAAACCCAAGCCGGGTACATCCTCGCGTTCACAACTAGTCAGTTGGCCAAAGATCAGCCCAGTGTGTGGTCACCCTTTTGCTGGAAATCATACAAGATGTCCCGAGTAGTGGCGTCCACGCTTGCTGGTGAGACGCAGAGTTTCGCTACTGCGAGTGGAATCTCTGAGTGGATGTCTCTCATGGTGTCAGAGGCTAAGCACGGGTGTTTCGACCTTAGGGCCTGTGAAGATCACCTTAGATGTGTGCCCATCACAGGGGTGACAGACTGCAAGTCCTTGTTTGATGCACTCAACACTCCGACATCGCCAGGCAAGATTGAAGACAAACGCGTCGCCATTGACCTGGCAATCGTTCGCCAGTCCATGTCTCGTTGTGGTTTGCAGGTCAGGTGGTGTCCCACTCAGCTTATGATTGCAGACGGGCTCACCAAGAACCAAGCAGATCCCGCTGACCTCATGCGCGCATTGCTAGCTAACGGGGTTTATCAGCTGTCTAACGAGGCCGAGGTGTTGGCACAGAAGAAGGCGCAACGAGACAGGCGTGTCCAGAGAAAGCCTTTAGGGAGCACGAACAGCCCGAACTATGAGCAGAGCCAAACTCCAGGCGCAGTCTTTCGAAAGGTGTACCTAGATCACGAAGCTACTTCATATCATTCCCCTGAAGAAGAACACATCGTTCAAGGCAAGGCTGTTCGTCGCACCTCTTTCGACGCACGCAGCGGGAAAGTTCTCGCGTCAGAGGACCTCCAGGAGTCCTTACTGTGCGAAAAGCAGTGGCTATCCAGCCCTGTGTCCTTGCTTCGAACAGAGATCTGGTATGAAAGGGTGGTTCCGGGATCTAGGGTTTAGACTAGTCACGGGGACTAGTGGTGGGGTAGTCCGCTTGCGTGGAGGGACCACGCCAAGCAATGCGCACGCATCACTGTCAAGAGCAAGCGATGCTGCCACAATCCCCAGTGTCTGCCTCAAGGTAACGCTGGCCGCGTAATCCTTTTTTCTCTTAAAGCAGCAATCCTTTTGTTTTGTTTTGTGTAGTCGAACATCAGCAACCCTTTTCGTGCACCTTGGACCGCATGGCGCCCAAGCAGAAGACCAGCTCACCCTCCTCGTCATCGGTGTCTCCAGTTGAGCTTAGGCATCTTGTGGAGCGCCTTCAGGCGGAAGGGCGTGGAGATGATGTGCTGAACGTGCTCCAGCAGGCCTTCGGTACGACGCAAGCGTTGAGCTCCAACCAGGAAATGATGCATGGCATGACGGATGCCCCGAAGAGGCGTCTCAGTGACCAGGACGTGGAGGACTACGGCTTTGAGCACGTGCGTGAGCCCTCAGACCAGGCTCCGCTACATCCTGCGCCAACAGTGGCAACCACGGTGAACCTCCCCACAGGCGTGACCAGCCTGGAACAGTGGAGCACCACGCTCTGCACATTACCAAAGGTGGCAAGTCTTCAGCTGAGCTACGCTGAACTTGTGGAGCGGGCCAAGAACGATGCCAGCGTCCGCAGCTACATTGATGGCTTCGTTGTGCCCTTCAACGGCAGCTCCGCGAAAGTAAAGGATCTGCAGAGGTACCTCAAGACCTCCGGCTACCAGGTGCCTGTGACCTACTACGAAGGAAGCAAAGATCCTCGAGTCTTCAAGCAGTGAGCTCAAGCAGCTGTCATCTTACTGTCTGCCCATGCCGAATGGCCAAGGCATTGACGACATTGAAATGCACATATCAAGATTTCACTCTTGGATTTGAACCGAAGAGAGAGGAGTGTCAATAGTAGACTCTCCATCTCTTGAGCCAGGATCCTTCGTTCCAACCATCAGAGGACCTTTCGGCTTGGAGAAAGGGCCGCCACGATGCCCGAGGTCGGGCACGATTGGCTTTGTAAGGTCTATACGGGTCCCTTCTAGGGGGTCCCTCCTTATGCCCCTTCAAGCGTGCACTCACTTGAGGTCCAGGGAGATCCTGAACACGAAGCCCTAAGCCCTAAACCCTAAACCCTAACAACCAGGCGTTCTGGCTTAAGTGTCGTGTAGTTTCTCCTCGGAGTCCACGCACCCATAGCTGGCTACCCTAGTGCGGCTTTCAGCCCACGAATCTGGTTTTCGCTGTACCATATTTATCTGGAGGCGTTACACCTAGGAGCCGCTCATCTGACTGAGTCTGGCTACTGCGCCTAACCCGGCTGGCGCCCGGGAGCTGACCTTTTTACTTGAGGGGTGGTTCCCTCCTGGCTTCTGGTCAAGCCACTGCACTAGCTGTCCTTTACAGGGCCTACTGCATTATTTGTATATGGGATCATCAGTTTTTCCTCTGCTGGTTTTCTTTGCTGGATTTGGTGGGGATATTGGGATCCTGGACAGTCGCCTTGCCACTTTGCCCTGGCCAAACCACGGCTCGACAAGAACCAGCCTGGCACCGGCGGCACCGACGCCTACGCTGCCGAGCTCGCACCACACTCCGTGGAGCTACAAGTGGCTTGGTGGTCAAACGCGACACAGTTTTGCGTGCAATACGAAGGCTGGCAGGCCACCACTCGAAGTCTCAGCTACCAGGACAAGCTCAAAGCTTGCTGCAGGCGGACTGCGCTATGGCGACACACTCTTGGTGCGGCACATGCTACGCCAACCGGTCTTCCAAGGCCTCGTATTGCTCAGTTTGTGGGGGTGCCCTGCAAACATACACGACACAGTGGAATCGGGATGCGTCGGCTTCACCGCGACGCCGGACAGCTCCCTCTCCCCGACGTTCCAACCGGGGAAAAGATGCACCACAGCATCCCAGACAAGGCCCGGGAAAGGGGGAGCAAGCCAATGCCACCCGCACCGGGAAAGGGGGCGACAAGTCTGCCAGGACGGAGGTCTCGACTGGTCCGGCCTTGGCCCCACCTCCAGGGGAATGGCAAGCACCGAATGCGACGAGCCTGCCACCACCACCTGCACAACCGGCCCTGCCGATTGCGCCAGCGGGAGCAATGTCCAGTGGCAGCATTTCGCAGGACAGGGCCGCTCTACAGCAATTGGTCGCGGCGATGGCCCAAAGCAAAGACAAGCTGCCCGAACACGTCAAGGCGCTCCTGGAGACACACCAGATGCAGGAGACGGAAGAGGAGGCCAAGGTCCTTCACAAGGCGGTCACAGCGCAGCAGAAGGCCAGAAAGGAGCTCGCGAAAATTCGTGCGGCGCGAGCAAACTATCTGGCGGGATGGAGTACCTACCTCGGCCAGATCCAAAGCATGCTGCAGCAACAGCTGGAAGATCAACAGAAGGTCTTAAGCACCCTGGATGCAGGAGAGTTGCAGTGGACCTCGAACTTGGCAGCGGCCTCGTCATCCTTGAAGGCGAAGGTCGGAGGGTCTGCAGATCTGGAAGCCATGGGTATCGACGAAGAAGCAATTGCAGAGGCAGCGGCCGAAGCAGCCGATGCCAAGGTGGACAGCCAATTGCATCTGGAGCAAGAGCTCCAGAAGCAGAGAGAGATGCACCAGGCTTCAGCCAAGAGCTTGCTCGAAGCCGTTACAACTGCACATGCCAAGGCTGCATCGGATGCAGCCACCGCAGAACAAGACAGGGAAAGGACGCCGAGGAGGAAGCGAGCGCTCACGGAGGAAGTCGTTGTTTCCGACGAAGAGCAAGCCAAGACCCCGGCACCGCACCCTGGCAAAGCCCGAGGCTAGATACGTCACAGTGGACGCCTACCCTTGGGCTGACGCACACGGTCACCTTGGAGGATGACTGTGTACATGCTGGCCACGCAATGTTGCTTGGCCTTGCTCTGCAGTATGAAGTTTCTAGGGATTTTGAGGTTCAGTTAATCTCGGACCCTAGGACTCTGGAGGTAGACGACACCCCGAATCCTTTCTTCGGGGCTTTCTTCCCTCCTAAGGCCTCCTCCCCCAATAAGGGTTCTGGCTTTTGTTCGGGTTGTATCTGCCCCTCTTCGCTTGCATCCCGAAGTGCCAGCAGCCGCACGCCCAGACTCGTGCGATTTGCAGAAGTGCAAAGAGGCCACGATGAAGCCGCCACTGCCGGAGCACAGCCGCCCCACTTGCAGGTCCTAAGGTCCTTAAAGAGGTGCCAGGTTCCTTTGGGCCCGCCCTATTGGGCCCCTGCTTTGCCCCCCGCAATGCATGCCACCTGCGAAGGGGGGAGCAAAAGCTCCTTTGCAGATGAGCCAGAGAGTGGCAATCTAGGCCGACTTCACACACTTGTCCCCAACAGGAAGGTGATTATGCCTGCTTGTGCTCGAGGCCCAGGTGCAGCAAGGTATCGTCACGCTCATGGTGCCTGCAATATCCACGAAGGATTCGTCAATGGGACCGATGCCTCTCCGGCACCTCCAGGCACAGAGGCGACATGCGAGGCCACCCAAGGCCCGGCCTCCCCTGAAGGCGAGGGCGCTCATACTGTAACAGGGGATTTTGCATGGGTTGCACCCGAAGTCTTTCTCACGCAGGTTCCTCTTGCTGACCGCACCACTGCTGCATGGCTTAGTGTGGCAACCCCCGTGCCGCTAAGCCTGATGGAGGCACAGGTCGCTGAGGCCGCTCAAGAGGAGGCATACGCTTTCTTCGACACCACAGATCACCTGCGCCTGCGCAGCATGCAGTCTACCTGGGATTTTCAACAGATCCTGCAAGATGCGGTCCGAGCCTCGAACGATGGACCCATCACTTCGGTGACAGAGGCCTTCCCTCCATTCAACTCATCCTTAGGGCCGCACACGTCACACCCGGCTGGGCACCGGTCCCTGTCGATCTAAGACAGCTAGGCAGAGGGTTTTGCACTTACTCAATTCCCATGGATGCCTCCGCCTATGAGGCAGCACTGCGACTTGTCCAGGTCTGTCCGGGGCCCCCCAGAAGGTTTGCCCCGGATGTTGCCAGAGGTCGTTTGAGCCTCGACAGCTTGAGCAAGGCACAAGGCGACCCCTTTGCACCTGGCATCTTGCACCCCACTCATGCGTTGGCCGCCAGGGTTCATGTCATGCGTGCAGAGTCCTCCGAGTCTGGCACTAGTATAGCAGAGGCTTCGTCCGACACTGACAACAGCACTACTGCTCGCTTTGGTGTTGTTCCGCACGAAGAGCACCATGATGAACTCACAGTCGCCTTCCACACTCCGGGGCAGCCGCCTTGGATAAGTTGCTTTGCGCGGGTTTGCACTCATGCACATCTTGTGGAGGCAGCTGCAAATCATTTTGCTTGCGGTTCAGACGTCTTGCGTTGGAGGTCCCATTTCCTTCCCTTGCAGCCGCACCTTGCAGGGGTTGATCTGCACTGCGTCATCTTGCCTGCGGAGGGAGCTAATGCGTGCCATGAAGCTGTACTTGCAGATTTCCGGGGGATCTTCGGCCCTTCCCCTCGGGCACTTGTCGCCATTCCATTTGACAGGCGGCTCCCGCAAGTTGAACAGCGCATCCTGGGGAGGGTACGTCAATTCTTGATTGACTCGGCTCTTGTGGACCCTCCGCAGGACTTCATCCTTTCCCTAGCAAATAAAGGAGGCGTACTTGCTTTGGCGCAACCAGCCGTGCATGCCGTGCAAGATACTGTCGATGTTGCCCTGCACTTCCCGGGCCTCAGGCAGACTCTCATGGCGGCCGTTGCCACTTGTGCCATCTCGGTTTCTACCACATCAACAACCACGACCGCGCCGGATGAGCACATTCCCGTGTCCAGTGCTGCTGGGTCCGGGGATAGCCTCCACAGCCACCCTGCGCCCCGGAATCCCCTCATGTGCCGACTAGGGATTCCCGAATTCGGCACAGTTACTGTCGAATTCCTTGGCAATCCCGATCTGGGACAGATCCTGGCTGCCCTTTGGCAAGCAGCCGCGCGCAAAAAGGCCAAGCTTGAGGGATTCCTCCTCTCGGCCAATGCGTGTCAACCAGAGCAAAGGGTTGCCTTCCGGGAGATCCTGTTCACACTAGTGCCTGAGCAAGCTACGCGCGGCGCATGGATATGGGTTGACCGACGGCCCATTGCTAGCCTCCTCTTTGTAGTGGTTCCATCCAGCAGCACAGCGGAGGCACTACCCCTTGCCGGCTCTCGCATTAAAGGTTGGTACCTTAATGGCGTTCGTTGGGATGGGTATAGGTCTGTCTCTTCTGGGTCACTTGCCGCACCTGGCTTCACACATGAGGCTCCTGACGTCAGGCCGGTAGGGTACTTCCTGGACCGACTGCCAGGCATTGCCGCTTGCATGACCCCGATGCAGCCTCCAGACGGCAGCCGCTTTGAGCCTTTTGCAACCACTGCCACAGAATGGCAGCAGCACATCATTCAGCGGCTCACTGACATGGGGCATGCACAGCCGAATCAGCAGGCGATCGTCGTGGGCGAGGGCTTCTTCACAGTTGTTCCTGTCTCAGGCCCAGGCAGCCTTCCTGTGATTGCTAACTGGCTTCATAGATGGGCACGCAACTGCCCGCCCAGGGCACGGTTGTTTCAAACCAACGGGGTCCTGAACGGCCGGCATGTCTTCATACTCGGGCCAGTTGACCTTGATGCTCAGAAGGAATACTTGCGTCTGAGCACTACCAACATGATGCCTGTGCTTTTTCGGGTGCCACATTATGCCCACCCAGACGAGCTCCGCCGTATGGCGCCAATTGAAGATGCTAGGAACAGGCCGGTACCCGGGCGACCCTGGTATGCGTGTTACTTTCCTTCTGCAGACTTCAGTGAGCATGTCGACCTGCCCATGGAAGACTTTCTTCCCACAGACCTGCCACCTGAACAGCCAGGAACTTCAGTGCCTTTCGCAGAAGACCTGTCGCCGGAACAGGCGCGACGCTGGCAAAGGCCGATGCCTGTGGGACATCCGCGTCCCCGACCCGCAACACATGACCTGGTTGGGCGGCTTGATTCCGCCTGCGCCGTTCAGGACACACAGATGGCAGCCTCCTCATCCATGACCGGGCCCGTGACTACTGTCAGTAGATTCGCCGGTCGACCAAGGCCAGGCCCCGCCAGACCTGTCTTCTATCAGGAAACCAATGCCGATGCCCCTTGGCCCAGCACAACTTCTTCCACTACGAACATGTTTGCCCTGTCAGGGCAGCCAACGCTCTTTCTGGTCTCGGGCAATGCCCTTGCCGGCATCCAGCCGGAGGGTATGGATGCACCCTCCCTAACCCACGCCCTTTCTTCTCTCATGTTTGAGCACGCCATGCGGGGCAGCGCGCCAACCCAGGGGGCTTTTCGATTGGCACAAGCGCAGCCAGGGCGCACGGGACCAATAGCAGAAATACTCGCTATTTGGTATCCACTCGATCTCCACCTCCACGTGCTAGTCGATAGACGCCCTTTGGGCGGTGGCCTCCGGCATGTCAGCATTGATTCGGACCACCTGCCTGAAGCCTTCTTGGAGGAGGCCGAAATTGCTGCAGGCGCGCGGGCTTATGTGAATGGCGTGCCGGCCCGCCATGGCGGGTACTCTACAAGACGGCGATTATGTTCTGCTCACGGCAGCCACACACTCTGTGCCAGCGCTCCCGCGGGCGGCGCTTTTCCGCACCTGGCCGCACACGGATCTCCTGGCTGTCGATTTCGCCACTACGGACCTTTTCCCACTGCCGGAAGACTTGGGGCAGGCTTTTGAGCAGATACATGACGGGGTTGCCAGGGCATGTGAGGCACGCTTTGTTCTGATCGGACGGGCCTATGCCCATTCCCAAACCGCACTGGTTCACTCTAGGGTCCGAGGGGAGATTCAATTGCACATTAACTGCAGGATCCCGGCCTCAGCGGCCCAGGTGGAGGAGGCCTTAGCCCTCCTGCCGGAGTGGCAAGACGCCAGGACTGTGCATGACACTGGCATGATGAGCGGAGATGCGCCCATCTTCATGGCGCAGGACATATATGAGTCCAGGGAGAGGTGGCACCTCATCCCTGTACCATACTTCTTGCGATTGTTTTTGCTTTGGCCGGTCAATGAGCAGCTTGTGCAGCTTGCAGATTCACTGCCTGCACCACCGCACCTCCAGGTCAATGCAATGCAGCAGAGTCGCCATGGGGCAGTGCGCCATTTCCACCCTCGGGATCCCACGGACTCACATAGCTTGCTTCAACTTGCAAGCACGTTCAAAAAAGAGAGCTCTAGTCCGCACGAGGAGACATCTCCAGCCGATGCACTGCCACGACCCGCCACCTTGGGATGCAAGGCCAACCACTTTCAAACGGCCATTAGGCCGATGGCTAGCCTCAGACTGGTGCCGAGTGAATTCGACGAGGTCGTTGACAGGGTTTTCCTGAATGTTGCACTCCAGATGGCTCCGCGGGCCCCGGCAGAAATCGAGACTCGCTTCACTGTCTTTGACCCCATTTTCCAAACCCGAGTGTTGACGCACCAACCGGGGCGTCGATGGGAATGGACACTGCTTGCAGTGTTACGGGCAACGGCACGGCCTATTCGAACAATTCAACGGCTCTCTGAACCCATCTGGGGCTTCCCAGAGCCCCAGTTGGTTGTGACCTTCGACACCACGCCCCCTGACCATGTGGCGATCCCTGTCGATGGCCGCCCCCTAGGGAACGCAATCTGCACAGTGCACCTGGGGCCACGAACCTCCTGGGAAACACTAGGACAGATTCTGCAACAGACGATGCCTGAGACCAGAGACTGCCGAGGGATTGGGGACCGCTTTCTGTCGGTCCTGCGAGACGGTCACCTCCTTCTCTCAGATGCAAACCGGCCGCTTGCAGACCCGTTGCCAGACCGTCTTTTCCTCTCCCAGTTCCTCACACCGCACGTGCGTCCGCACACTCCTCCAATCCCTGCCAGTCTCACAGTAAGCGAGACAGCTACTGAGCCCAACGAGATTCCGCGCCCGGAGGCCATTGACGTGAGCTCTGCAGCCGCACCTGCGGCGGAGACGGATGAATTGCGCCCGCTGAACTGGTCAGTGCCCACACCGCACGGTCGCAGGACCATAGCAGCTGCAGGCAAGTGGCCGGAAACAACCAAGGTCTCGACAGCTCGGCCCTCCTGCCTCGCTCTGGAGAGGCTTATCCCACCACCCGCCTCTGGCATCGCCTTCGGTGTGCTGCCCGAGATCTGCGCGCATGCGCTGCACGAGCACACCTGGGAGCGCCTGTCGCAGGACCTCGATGCCCTCTTTGAGGTCCTTCCAGTCGCCCGGGTTGGCTGGAAAGCGCTGCCACCGTACCGCAAAGACCAGCCCTTGCAGGCCTGCTACTTCTACACCGATGGCTCCTTCTACGCAGATCGGCAAGCTGGGGGCTGGTCTGTTGTTGTTCTGGGCCTGCAAAACGACCACCCTGTTGGCCTTGGGTGGGTAGGCGGTATTGTGCCCCATGCTACGTCCGCATATGAGGGAGAGGTACGAGCAATTGTTCATGCTCAGGCCCTTTTCCTGAACCAAGCCGCCGCCTTCGGGGTGATTGCGTCGGATTGCAGCGCCGCACTCGACCTTGTCTTTGGAAATGCCTGCTTCAGCCCAGAGGACGCTGTCGCCGCTACAGCAGTCAGCCTGCGCGGAGCTAGCTCTGCGAAAGGCCAGCAGCTTTTGCCACTCAAAGCTGATGCACACACGGGGTGTGCCTTTAACGAACTTGCTGACGCAGTTGCTAAGTCCGCCGCACTGGGATCTGCAATGCCGGCTCTGGCCTTCTCGCCCAGCAGCTTTTGGCAAGGTGTAGCCGAAGGTGTCATGGACTGGGCCTGGACTTGCTACGGCCAGCCCAATTCAGCCCATGTGCCTACGCTCGATGCAAAAGGAACATGGTCAGAGGCTGCGTGCCAGATGCCGCCTGTTCCGCTACCGCCTGGCACTTACTTTGCACCTGAGGCAGCAGCTGAAAATACGGTGCAGGAGCTACATGTGTCCCTGGTGCAATATAACTGCCTTTCAATCAAAGGCCAAGCCGCCAAAGAAATCATGGCGTCAGCGCTTGCACAGATCGGCTGTGATGTTGCGGGACTACAAGAGACGCGCACTGCCGACGATGGCATCAGCACACCGGGGTCATACTGGGTTCTGAGCTCTCCGGCTACCGCCGAAGGCGTCGGGGGATGCCAGATCTGGTTGCATCGCGAAAAGCCTGTGGGCCACTCCATGGAATCCGGGCAACCGTTTTACTGGGAGAGGAGATCCTTCTCGATCCTCTGCGCTGAGCCACAGCTACTGATTGTCCTTGCACACGCTGGGGGGGCCAAGTTTTGCCTTATCAGCGGCCACGCTCCCATAGCGTCTGCGGCCGAACACACGCGCATGCATTGGTGGCGCAGGCTCGCACAGGGCATTCGCACAGCACCCAGGGGATGTATCCCCCTCATCTTTGTGGACGCCAATGCACGCTTTGAGGCGAACAGCAATACCCCTGCGACTACTTGCTCAGCACCACGCTGCCCCAACGCGCGTGCAATGCTGGCAATTGCCCGAGAATTTAAGCTAGAGGCCACGCACCAGTTCTCTCATACTGGGAAGCGCATCGCGTCATGGAAGAGCCCAAAAGGGCGGCTTGGCTTGATTGACTACATCATGTACGACGCGGGATTTGCCTCAGCAGTGAGAACGGACGACACCCCTGATCTACAAAATCTGCACTCCGGGGTGGACCACTACCCTGTAGCGGCCACGCTGAGAGCCCGCATTGACGGTGCAAGACGGGAACAACGCCCCCGAATTTGCAGCAGGGCCATCAAGACACAGTACGGGCAATCCGTATTGCGCAGGGCCCTGCTCACCGCGCCCACGCCAGGGTGGGAAGTGGACGCCACCAGCCATGTCGAAGCTGTCCACGCACACCTTCACACTTTTGTGACCAAGCACCTTCCTCCTGCGCCTGTGCCACCACGCCACCCTGCCCTTACCGCAGCTACGCTAGAGGAAGTCAGACGGCGCCGCCTACAGCGCCAGCGGCTGCGCACCCTGAGCAACCAGGAGCGCAAGGCCTTCTTGCTCTGTGTCTTCCGTGCATGGCGGAGCCAACGACCGCCACTGAGTCAGTTCCTCCGCATCTCGGCTCGTGTGGCCGACAACGTTGTTGAACTGCACCGGCTCAACAAAAGGGTTACTGCATGCTTCCAGTCCGACAAAGCCCAATTCTTGCGGGAGCAAACTACCCAAGCCCGTGCCTCCGGGCCAGCTGCCTTTGCACACATGGTCAGGGCAGTTACGCGGCAGGGGAGACGCTTCAAAACACCGCACGTCGTGCAGATGGCCCAGCGGTCGGAGCTACACAGGTCATGCAACAACTTGGCAGGCATTTTGCGAAGCCAGAAAGAGCCCGGCCTATCCCCGAAGGTGCCCTGCGCAAAAAAGCACGGACCGTTGAGCCTCTCACGGCGGCAGTCGACGCACAGGAGTGCCCTACCTTTGCGGACTTGGTGCGTGGCTTCAAATCTCTGCAGGGCGGACGAGCCAGTGGGCGGTCAGGCTTGCCCGCAGAGATATACCAGGCTGACCCATTCCGCGCGGGGGCACTCTTCCTGCCGATCGCAATGAAAATTGCGGCACGGGGCATGAATCCGCTCCAGTGGTGTGGGGGAAACGTCCACTCCATCCCCAAGCCCAACAAAGACGTCACTACCCTGGGGGGTTGGAGGTCCATCCTTCTCCTCGAGTCTGATGCAAAGGCGTACCAAAAAGCCTTCAGGCCCAAGCTCATCGAACGGCTCGAACATGTGCGCACTGTCGGCCAAGTTGGGGGGCTTCCCAAGCACACGCTCTCCCAGCCCTCGGCCCTTGTTCGAGGACACCTACTTTGGCTGCGGACCAAAGGCTATAGCGGCGGGGTCTTGTTCCTGGACTGCAAGGACGCGTACTACTCTGTGGTGCGAGACCTGCTTGTCAAGGACCCTCAGTGCCAATGGGACCCCGCACGGCTCCAGGAGCGTGCTCAGCTCCTGTTCGTGCACCGGCAAGACCAGCTGACGTTCATAGAAGAAATGACGGCGGGCAACTGGTCAAAGGCACTTGCACTGCCACCCGAGCTGCAGCGTCTCCTTGCGGCGCACCTCCGTCACACCTGGTTCGCCGACGGCAATCCGGGAACCACGCTGTATGAGACAGCATCTGGCTCTGCTCCGGGGGCGCCGGTGGCAGACACCATCTTTGCCTTTCTCTTCAGCCGCTTCCTCGGCGACCTCCAGGAAGAGATGCGAGCCCTGGGCCTTTCACCTCACTTTGTGCAGAACATCCCGCCGGATAGCTGCGCCGAGGCGCCCACCTGGGCGGATGATGTCGCCATATTGTTCTGTGCACCGGACGCGAAACAAGCCGGTCATGCCCTCTCATGCATTGGCAAAATTGCAATCTTCGGGCTTTCCTCACTTGGACTGGAGGCAAACTTGGGACCAGGGAAGACTGAGGCCATCATCTCCCTGCGCGGCGCCGGTTCCAAATCAGCCAAGCAGGACATGCTCTGTCAAGCCGTGCCGGCGGTGCAAGTCGAGCTGCCCGGAAACACGCAGGGGGCATTGCGAGTTGTGCGGGATTACACGCACCTGGGCAGCATTGTGATGGCCGACTGTAGCGAGCTGGCCAATATCAAGCACAGAGAGGGGCTACTCATGCAGTCCTTCCACACATACCGCTCGCGCATCCTGCACAACCCCTTCCTCACTTTCGATGAGAAGCGTGAGCTTGTGATGTCAAGGCTCGTGCCCCGTTTCCTGCATGGAGCCGGCTTGTGGCGTTTGGCCACCAAGCAAGAAGCGGCAAAGGCCCAGGCTCCCCTAATGCGTGTTTTTAGGGGGTGCATACGACCTTTCTTCCAAAGGAGCTCGGAGCGGATGACGAACGAGGAAGTCCTGGCAGCGCTTTAGAGCTCTGGGAGAGGTGACTGACGCTGGAATGGAGGCTGCCTGGCCGGGACTGACAGCTGATGGGATCTGGCTTCGATCCGCGGTGCAGTCGCTCGACGCCGTTGGCAAGACTTACGCACCCCTCCAGCAAAAGCTCAAGGACCGGCCGAAGCTGCTGATAAAAGACTTGGCAACCCTGCTTCGGGGACAGCGCCCGCTCCTGCGCAACGCCTGCCGCTACTACCTGAAGAGCTGCAGCGGGAACCGCCCTCCAGTTTCCTGGGAAGACATCGATGCGCGAGTTGGCACTGAAGCTTCTGTACAGATTGTTGGTGCATGTGCGAAGTCGCTTTCTTTTGCGTGTGACTTCTGCCATAGGGGTTTCCTATCTAAAAGAAGACTCGCTGTGCACAAGGCCAGCGTACACAAGTTCCCATCGGCGGGCCGTAGTGTCACCTTTGGGACTTGTTGCGAAGTTTGTCGCACAGAATTTTGGTCGGGAGCTCGCCTGGCTGAGCACCTGCGTAGACAAGGGGGATGTAGAGCAGTTTACGCGGCATCGGACCTGACACCCGAAGCTATTGGCCGGGTTGATACAGCTTGGCGTCCGGCTGCAGCCGCCATAGGCCCGAGGCCATGGTGGGCCACTCTTTCCCCCCCCCTTGAAGATCAGGGCTGAAGTAGACTGTATAGCTGACACTCGCCCGATCTCCTTTTCAGCCTTTTGGCTCTGTAGGTCATTCACAGACCAGACTTGCATGCGAATTTATCGCGCGCTGACTTGCCCGAGCCTGTCCGCCAAAACCCTAACAACCTCGCCCAGGTTGGAGCCCATTTCTGCCCACGAGCTGCCATGCCCGCAACGCGCTCGTGGCATGCTTGTGGGTTTAGGGTTTAGGGTCTTGGGATTTTGTGAGGGTTTTTCAAAGGATCTTTTAGGGGTTTAGGGCTTATGAGGGTTGGAACCATCCCAGGCCCCCTTGAATGCTTGAAGAAGAATTGGGGGGTGGCAGGGGGGGCGTAAGGGTTTTCGGGCGGTAGAGGGAATAAGGCTGAGGGCTTGAGAGGGTTTAGGTTTCTAGGGATTTTTCAGGTTTTGTTAGGGTTTAAGGCTTATAAGGGTTAGAACCCTCAACTTAGGATGCTGCCTCCTTCTACTAACAGTCCTTAAGAGGGAGGCTAATCGGGGGTACTATAATCCCCATTAAGGACTGTTAGTGCAAGGGAAACATCCCAACCCTAAACCTTAATCCCCTAAACCCCGAAACCTTTAAACCCCCAAGCCCTAAGCCCTAAACCCCAAACCCCAAACCCTAAACTCTAAACTCTAAACCCTAAACCCTAAACCCTAAACCCTAAACCCTAACCCCAAAATTTCTCGCTGGCCAGGCTTCCCAGGGAGCTTCGAGGCCGCTCGAGCTGAAGCTTTCGTGAAGTCCAAGCTGCCGGGGCCTTAGGGTTTACGGTTTAGGGTTTAGGGTTTAGGGTTTAGGGTTTGGGGTTTAGGGTGTAGGGTTTGGGGTGTAGGGTTTAGGGTTTAGGGTTTAGGGTTCTTAAGGGACGAGGGTTCATGGGGGGTAGATACCTAGGAAGCCTCACGGAAGCTTAGGGGTAGTGGGGGAGTTTTAAGGAACCTTGGGTTGGCTAGCCCCCTTGATCCCCCCTCCTTTAAGAACCCTAAACCCTAAACCTGTGGTGCCCTGCTGCTTGGTTCCAGGTTCCCTTTTAGGGTTTAGGGTTTAGGGTTTAGGTGTTTTGGTTCAAGCTTCCCTTACAAAGTATCCAACCTCCCCAAAAACACGGTACACTTGTTACAACATGCTTACCGGGGGCCACAGCGGTTCGAGCGAGCTTGTGAGGGTTCAGGGTTTAGGGTAGTAGGGTATATAGCGGGCTGACCCAACTATCAAGCCCTAATCCCTAAACCCTAAATCCTGAACCCTAAACCCTAAACCCTAAACCCTAAACCCTAAACCCTAAACCCTAAACCCTAAACCCTAAACCCTAAACCCTAAACCTGCCATTTGGGGGAGGGCCATGTGCTTCGTAATTCGACAGACACTTCGGGGGGCACCTCGGGGCAGCTCCTTGCTTCGCTGAGGTTGGTGGTCGCCATCGTGTCCGGAAGGGCTGCTGCCCCGGAATGCTTTGGGAGGGTACCCTAAACCTTCAAACCTAGACTCCAAGGCCCTGAACCCTAAACCCTAAACCCGAAGCCCTAAACCCTAACGCAATCTGGGTAAAGGGGTTCTAGGGTCAGAATGAAGGGGGTTCATGAGTTTCGGGTTTGCGACTCATAAAGTTTAATTAAAGGCCAAACCCTGGAGCCTCGTACTGCAAACTGCAAGGATCTTCGGGTAGTAACATGGTCCCTCAATATGTACATAGCCCTTATATATCCTATCGAACCCAAGGGCCCGTACATCAGAACCCTCTGAAAGAAGGCAAGGGGTCAAATCAAAGGGCCAATGTAACGTGCCTAAACCCCCCTAAGTCCTAAGCCCTAAACCCTCAATCTAAGCCCGAAACTCTAAACCCTAAGCCCAAAACCTAAAACCCAAAACCCTAAACCCTAAACCCAAATGAAGGGCCATATGACTGCCCTCAGAATGGAGTCGGCAACCAAGGGTAAGCCGATCAGAGAGGAGGCGATGCAGTACATGGCCTGTGGCTCAGGGTTCAGGGTTCAGGGTTTAGGGTTTAGGGTTTAGGGTTTAGGGTTTAGGGTTTAGGGTTTAGGGTTTAGGGAGGGTAGAGGGTTTAGGGCTAAGGGCGGTTTAGGGCTCATTACGGGTTTAAGGGTTTGGGGTTCAGGGTTCAGGGTTTAGGGTTTAAGGTTTAGGGTGTAGGGTTTTTAATTCGGATTCATGGGTCTCGTCTGAGGAATTGTCTCTAAGCCTACCAGAGGGTGGACCCCAAAACCCTACATGACCCGCAAGCCCCTAAACCCCCTAAACCCCTGAACCCCTGAATAGGTTCTCTTCCAAGGGCCTCTATCTCACAATGAAAGCCCTAAAGCCCCAAAAACGCTGGACCCCAAACCCTAAACCCTAAACCCTAAACCCTAAACCCTGTAAATGTTCCTCATCAGGCCCTGGCTTCGCAGGAAGTGCGGGTGATGCTCGGTGAAAACGCGGCACCGCCGCCTGAGTTTTGCACAGGGTTTAGGGTTTAGGGTTTAGGGTTTAGGGTTTAGGGTTTAGGGTGTAGGGTTTAGGGTGTAGGGTTTAGGGTTTAGGGTTTAGGCTAGGCAATTTCGAAGGTCCTGTAATCCCTACGCCCTGGATTCAGGTTTCAGTGCATAGAACTTCGCTACCCTAAGCCCTACAATCCCAAAACCCTACTAGCCCCAAACTCTGATCCTTCAACGTCAGACCTTGAACGCTAGACTCTCAACTCAGGAGTGACCTCTATAAGAAGTTAATGTTGACTCACGTGCTTGATGGCGTAAGCTGGTACTGCGCAGGAGGGGGCGTCTGGTTCGAGCTATAGGGGCCATCGCGGCCCAATACGAAGTCAGGTACCTCGAAAAGGAACTCTGGGGGTGGAGGTAAACCAGGACTCCCCATGTAGTGCCCTTCTTGTCTTATCAGTGCCCTGCGTCGGTTAGGTTTCCGAAAAAGCCCAACTGAAAAAATATGAGGCTTCCGTTTCATCCCGAGAGAACTCTGGTTGCGGCGGCGTCTTGAATTCTGAAAGGCTATCAGAGAAGGGAGGGAAGAACGACTTAGGAATTGGCTTCCCTGTGCGATCTCCTAAAGGGCTGTACAGGGGATGTGAGGGGTCACTCAGGGGGCAGTGACAGGTACCCAACACACGCATGAGTGGATTCGCTGCCTGGGCTCACTGCCTTGGCTCTACCGCAGGGCATGAGGACTGGCTCTGAGTCCCTGGACGGAATTCCTCCCGAGGTGCCGGAAGGTAGACGATCCCCGGCCCTTTTTTTCCCTGTGAGAAGGGTTTACGGTTTAGGGTTTAGGGTTTAGGGTTTGAAGGGAAGGCCGGATCGCGGTCCTTGATGGCAGGTTTTCTGGCGAGGAAAGCCCACGGAACTCAAAGACACGCAGTTTCGGCAGTCTGTGCCTCAGCCATGAATACTACGAGTGCTTTGAGAACCCCCCAAAATACGAGAATAATAATCCCTGTATTCCTTTTTTAGGAAGAACATTCTACATCTTTCGGGGGCTCTTAAGCATTTTGTAGATTTCACTCCTGCAAACGCTGTGCGCTGGTGATCCCACCCATTGGGGTCGAGAGCATGAATGGGTCGCAACAGATGAACCGCTAGGCTTTGCGGGTTCACGACGTAGCAGCCGACGGAGGGAGCCTGCAGTGTAGGTCGGCCATGGTTCACATGGCTGTTCTCGCGGGGCTCTGCCGGCTTTTCCTATGCTGCAGCATGGTGGCCGCGACTGTGCAGTACTTGAACGGTTCGCAAGATTGCGATGGCGACTGTGCGCCTGACCAGTCTTCCTGGCTGCAGCTGCAAGGACTTAGCACTTTCACAGAGTGGACGATGGAGGTTGGCGGCGTCGCATCTGGTGACGATCAGGCATCGAAAGCTATTTGCCCATCAGGATACACGGTCGTATTCTGCCAGTCAGACCCACCAAACGCAGGTGATGGCTTGCGTCTGAATGACTTGCAAGCCACGGTGCCCACGCTCAACAAGATATGCCACGCTTATGCTTCTTCCACCCGGTCGGTACAAGCAGTGGCCGTCTGCGCGAACCGGAACTGGGAGCGCCCTGGTGGTCATTGCGCGTTTGCTGAAACTCGCGGTGTAGTCAGTTTAGCTGGGAAGGTCGGACAGTTATGCCCAAATAGGAAATGAGTGGGTTCCCTTTAATCGACTGGGGGTCTGAGGGTCAGGAGTCGACCAGAAGCGTTCGCTTGTGCTTGCGCGAGTGCCGCGCAGTGCCGCGCTGTGTCGTGCAGGCGGTGCACGAGGAGATACAAGGCGATGAGCTGTGCATGAGGGGTCAGGACCTGCAACAGGCCGTCGGTCGCCACAGCTTCTTCGATGTAAGAAAAGTCTGTACCCACGACAGGTTTTTGAGACCCCATGACGAGAAACGTGGGGTTTCGGCCAAGCCGAAAGGCCGTACCATCTGCCTCCAAAACCCAAAACCAATACAGCTTGCAAGCCCTGTTCAGCATTTGCTTGTCGTTTTTTTTTTGTTGTGTGTGTGTGTGTGTGTGTGGTGTGTGTGTGTGTGGTGTGTGTGTGTGTGTGTGTGTGTGTGTGTGTGTGGTGTGTTGTGTGCGTGTGCGTGCGTGCGTGCGTGCGTGCGTGCGTGCGTGCGTGCGTGCGTGCGTGCGTGCGTGCGTGCGTGCGTGCGTGCGTGCGTGCGTGCGTGCGTGCGTGCGTGCGTGCGTGCGTGCGTGCGTGCGCGCGTGCGTGCGTGCGTGCGTGCGTGCGTGCGTGCGTGCGTGCGTGCGTGCGTGCGTGCGTGCGTGCGTGCGTGCGTGCGTGCGTGCGTGCGTGCGTGCGTGCGTGCGTGCGTGCGTGCGTGCGTGCGTGCGTGCGTGCGTGCTGCGTGCGTGCGTGCGGCGTGCGTGCGTGCGTGGGTGCGTGCGTGCGTGCGTGCGTGCGTGGTGTGTGTGTGTGTGCGTGCGTGTGTGTGTGTGTGTGTGTGTGCGTGTGTGCGTGGTGTGCGTGTGCGTGTGTGTGCGTGCGTGTGTGGTGTGTGGTGTGCGTGCGTGCATGCGTGCGTGCGTGCGTGCGTGCGTGCGCGTGCGTGCGCGTGCGTGCGCGCGTGTGTGTGCGTGTGTGCGTGCGTGCGCGTGCGTGCGTGCGTGCGTGCGTGCGTGCGTGCGTGCGTGCGTGCGTGCGTGCGTGCGTGTGTGTGTGTGTGTGTGTGTGTGTGTGTGTGTGTGTGTGTGTGTGTGTGTGTGTTTTGTCGTGGGTCCAACTCTCTTTTCTTGACGGGGCGTCGGACGCAGGTTGTGTCGTGGGTACAAGTGTTCAAGACATGGCGGGGTTGGAGACCCCCCTCCGGTTTCCATGTACTTTCGAAACGTGCCACAGCACGCGAGATGCGCGTAGAGGCGCTCTAGATGGGTGCCGAGCGTCGCCTCGAATCGCCCTTACGTCCTGTGTCCTGCCTCAGGCTGTGCTGCGTTATCTCTCGCGTCGCGTGTTGTGTGGTGTCACGTGTCAGTCTCTTGCGGCTCTCGTGATCATGTCGTTTCTTTTGCAGACTATTTGTCTAGGTCCTACAGGGATGCTTGCACCTCCTGAAGAACTGCATCTTGCAGTACCCATGGCGGGTCTTGTGCATTGCAGTGTCCATTTGGGGAGCGGCCGATTGCATGCCTCTGCCACTCTCTCTGGGGACTGGAATACTGTGGTGGAGAGTCTCTTTTCCTTCCCACCAAACCCTGAGTCTTCGGAGAAATCCAGTGCCTCAAGGAAGTGCCAGTCCGTTCAGAGATCACGAACCGACGGAGATACCAAAGTGATAATAGTGGGATGGGCGCAGGAGCGATCCTCACTGCAATATGTCCGCCAGACACTAAGGGCTGGGCAGGTGGCTCCCAAACAACGGCATCAGGGGATGATAAAACCAAAGAGGCGACATGTGGCAACTTCAACTCTGAAGCGAATACCGGGGTGTGCTTCATCGATCCCTCGAAAAGTGGCAATTATGGCGACGGCATGACGATTTCGCAAAAGGGCTGCGAGGTGCAGGCATCAGGGTCGTCTGGCAAACTGACCGTGCACATTGTTTGCTTGAAGACGAACGACGTCGGGGAGACAACTCCCACTTACGCGGGTCTCGGAGTCCTTGCGAAGAAAGTGCCTCCTAGTGACTGGTCAACCAGCGAGCTCAACATCACGCAGCTCCCCGAAATCAATCCCGACCTCACTGGAAACGATCTTGAGGACAGAGTGGTGCCAATCTTGTGCGCGTGCAGATCTGCTTGGACAGTGGCCTCTGAATGTGAGGGCAAAGCCACGTGGTACCCGACGGTGAACTCAAACAAGCTCCTTGAGTGCCGACTGCCCTCCCGCAGGCGCCGGATCCCAAACCGGCGCAGAGGAGAGGCACAGCTTTCGGCCCTCATGGTGCAGTACCGATTTTACGATGTCATCCCTCCTGGCTGGTAG